AAGTTTCTGCGAGCGACCCGCCTCGTAGAACGATTGTGACACTACTGTGTGCGAGTGTGTGTATGTGTGTTTGTGCTTCTCTTCCTCCCTTTCCCCTTACCCTTTCCCCAGTGCAGGGTAGCAAACCGGATATGTTTTCTGGTTAACCTCCCTGCCTTTCCGCATTAAAATTTTCTCTCTCTCTCTCTCTCTCTAACCCCGATGCTACTTGGAAAAGATGAGACGCTGCCCTGCGCAGCTCCTGTGTAGCCGACCAGAAATGAGTCTTGAAGCAAAGTCGCGATGCGGCTGCTAGGCTAAAGGCCTGTCATTCCAAATTTAGGGGGCCTAAGAGTCCTCGTATGCTCCTCGTCTGCATGCATGGCCTCCATAAAAAAAAAGATATCACCCCAACTCACCCTGAAAAAACTTTACGCCAACGCCCCATTACAGGAACTGTTCACTGTCCAACTTCACCTCCCCAAAATCAGTAATGAAGGGCAGAAGAGCAAAAAGGCAGGTGCTGTGGTTGAATTGAATCCAACCCTCTCAATAAAATCGAGGAACTTGCTCACGCCTTTACGATATTGCTTGCCAAAGCTCGACGATGTCCACAGTTTAGATTCCAACTGTGACTTTGTGCCAAGTGACCTTCATGCAACTTTTTCACGAAGGTTACAACAAAAGAAGTGCACGAACTACGCAGCATCTTACTCTACGCAGTAGGCGTCTAGGAAGACTAATCAGAATTCTGAGAAGCTCAGTGGCGCCGCTGAAACGGCGTGGTCATTAAGATGTGGTCAAATCAATAACCCTTACTCAGCAATAACAAGGCCGCCTCATCAGAGGAACTAATAGAATATGCATGCAGTTCGGAGGTTTCAAATGATGAGTGTTAACGCGGTGTTGGTCTGAGACCGGCTGATTTGTATCACGGATTAGGGCTTGTCATTTTCCGTGTATGATTCTCTCACTTAAAATGCAGTGTTAAATGAAACAGCGAGTTTTACCGTCAACCGGCCGGTGGGTGCAGTCTCAACTCACGATTTTATATTTGATGTATGAGTCTTCGTGAACGTGGTACAGGTAATCAACTATTTCCATGTTTGAATTCATCGTGCTGGCTTCGTGCTACGACTCTCGGAAACATAAATGAAGTATAGACTTCCAATTTAATTTGGAGGGCGAGCTCATTTCTGTTGGATAGTGGTTTCATTTATGCGAATATAAAAGTTCCGGTTCGAAAAGCCTTGCGGGACCAATTGAGAGCGCCAAATCACACACTCATTGCTTTCATATTTAGGAGTTTGTGGATAAAGTAACTTAAGCACGAAGCTTTCTTTCGGTGTAAATGTACAATCAAGTACTAATATAAATATCTGATTGTAGTTTCATGATTGAGTTTCGTCGAAGCTATTGATTGTACAGATTTGTGCAAGGTAGGCTAATAATCTCTCTGTGCATGGATCAGTCTTTTCTGGCGGCTTAACTCGCCGAGAGGTGCTTGCGCTCAGAAGGTTTCGTGTCTGCGCCGCCTTGGCTACTGTAATCTGGGCTACATGGACATCCGGGTCACAGCCTTCCCACACGACATGCCCATCCTGCGTTGCCCCAGCTAAAGAAGAAAGTCTCTGTCACCCATTGGGGATCTTTCCGGGCCTTCCCAAGGGACGCATTCCCCTCCTACGTGACCTTCACCACCACCCCACCCGCCCACTGTACGCGCTGGACGCACGGACCACTGCATCCACCACTCCTGTCCTTCATACAGGAAACAGAACTTTTCCTTCTTATATACCTTATGCCGTAGGGCATACTGGCGCCACTAAAAATCTTCTATATGTAAAAAAATGTCACCATGGGCTCGTTAGTGACCAGAACAAATCACCGAAATGGGCGGAGAGGTAGCAAAATTTCATCTTAAAATTCAAAACGTATTGCTACCGGTATGGATTCAAAGGTAAAGGCCATTCTGTTCATTTTCTTTTCAGTCTATTGTGTTATACGTCCACTCAACTACTGCCTCCTCCTCCACACGAAAGCGTTTTGCGCCTATCCTAGTTTTGAACTACGTCGGGAATAGAAGAACAAGAAAGAAAATCTGGACTAGTTCGTGATAGCTCATTTTCTGAAACTTACAGCGTAAGAAGGACGCAGACGAAGTATAAAACAACAAGAGTGCTGACTCTCAACTAAAATTTTATTAAAGAAAAGGGACCATTATGTACACAAGTTAGCCGGCTTCGACAGAGCAATTACGCATGTGAAGCAGAGTCATTCACGAGATAGCACTTTTTCACGACACGTGGAGCATCCACGTGCGTGAGAATACAAAAAAAACTATCTACACAACAGGCAATACTAACAAAAAAAAAACGAAACCCTGCCGTGGTGGTCTAGTGGCTAAGCTACTCGGCGGCGGACCCGCTGGTCGCGGGTTCGAATCCTGGGTGCAGCGGCTGCATTTCCGATGGAGGCAGAAATGTTGCAGGCCCGTTTGCTCAGATTTGGGTGCACGTTAAAGAACCCCAAGTGGTAGAAATTTTCGGAGCCCTCTACTACGGCATCTCTCAGAATCATATGGTGGTTTTGGGGCGTTTTACCCCATATATCAATCAATCAACAAAAAAAAACGAACTTGTGAAGCATCCTAAGACAGCTGGCACTTTATAAAGTGCAGTTTCTTTTCGCTAAGGGCAACATACGAATGGCTCATGCACCCCTCACCTTCTCTGTCGATGAAGAAGAAGAAGTGTCCATTCTCTCCCTTGTGTTCTGATGCTCATTGCGGAACTAAATATCTGCTTCCTTCACCATCGCCTCACAACCGCATTATCCCCAGTCTGATGGCAGGTGTAAACCGCCCGCAGCCCTCAGGGATGCCAAATGCTCCCTCAATGTAATATTTTCACATCGTCCAATTTGTCCAATATATATATATATATATATATATATATATATATATATATATATATATATATATATATATATATGTATATATATATATTGTTTGTTATATAAAATATATTCTATACATATATATTATATCACATTTATAATATATGTAATATATATTACATATTATTATATAGTGTATATATTTGTGCCTTCCCTTTAATAAATGTTTACTTGAGAGTCAGCGCTCGTGTTTTCCTATACTTCGTCTGCGTTCTTCGTACGCTGTGAGTTCTCGAAAAAGGGAATCGGAGACATTGCAAATCTTTCTGACACACCACATCGTTTAGCACTGCTTTCTTGTTTCGTCCAACTTTGACCAAGCAGCAATGTCCTCACGTCATCTTTCTATGACGTTACAAAACTTGACGGGCTGTGACGCCATGAATACGTCATGATGTGGCGTCATCGCTTGGACAAGGTTACACGGCTTTTTACTGAGACGTTACGTCACCCTCATGTCACATCTCGCGATGGGGAGTGCCAGTAATAATATGTGGGGTTTAGCACCCAAAACCACCATATGATTATAAGAGCCGCCGTAGTGGAGGGCTCCTCTAATTCCGACCGCCTGAGGATCTTCAACGTACGCCAAAATCTGTGCTTACGGGTTGGTGAGAGTGCTGACATGGCCACTTAAGGCTTTCACCTTAATAGGAAAGTAGAAAGACCATGAAAGATGTCGCTTCGCTTGCAGTTTCATGGTGAAACAATAGGGTCCTTGATAAAAATTTGAGAAAGTTTGCATTGCATAAATTTTCGTACTCTTAAGTGTCAATGTATATGCAGTGTTCCCTCCTCCCCCCCCCCCCCCCCCCCCCGGTGGCTGCTGCCGAAGCAATTTTGTCACAACAAAAGTTTGGTGAAGAATTCGGCAGATCACACGTACCTGGGAATTGACGTTATGTGAAGCATGTGGAGGAAAGCTTACCGTGTTGCAATTTTTTTAATGGCGACATGTCATGAAATAACGGTAACTATACGTACCAATGTTGCACGCACAGACAAATGTTGAAGAGTTGCAGATGTTTATGTAACCAGTTGCTTGCACTTGCGCAACGACGTCGACTGAAACATGCGTATTAGCAACATCAGAAGCTGATATGAAGCGCTGATACCCACGAAGATGCTGGCCCTGGACACTGCTCATAACCCAACTTCAGCGCATGGCTCCTAACCACAATTGACATTAACCCGACGTGATGGCTGTATCATATGTACATATGTTAGAGTACATATGTAATGTTCATAAATTTTGGTAGGCAGTACTGCAACCACTATTGACGTTTCACGATGATTAGCGTTTCTTTGAAAAGTAGTTTCGTGACCTGGCGTATAGCTCTGTGGTAGAATACTTGACTGCCACGCAGAATGCTTGGGTTTGATTCCTCTTGGAACGCTGAAATTTATTATTGGCGTTCGTCGGGGGGCCAACGCTTCCTATAGCAGGTTTTTCTTAACATTGACATTTATTCCTTGCATTCATCCGGTGGGTAAGTACCACTGTCCAATGGAAGTGTTTGAGGACGTACGTGACGGGAGTGTGACATTAATCATGTCTTGACCAACGCGTCATATTCGTCAAAGAATCCTACCCTCCCTTGCTAATTTTGTTTCACACCAAGTTAAGGGGGTGACCACGAGAGCACCCAAACGTAAGAGGCTAGATAGATAGATAGGCACATGGTCGTCCACACATATACACTATTCAAAGCTTGATACAATTGTTTTTAAATACATTGTTTCGAAAACTTTTATGAGATTAGCCTTAAAAGCTACGGTAAGCCATTAATTATTAAGAGCTATTTTCCTCGTCTGCACTCCTAATTGAGTCCTCGTTAACTACTGCCTATATGCAGCAAACTAGACAAAATATTTTCGCTTTTCTGGATATATCTAGCTTTTTTGGCAGGACATGATTTAGGGTGTAGTAGAAGAAACGGGTTACCGCCTTCAATACTAAAGATGTGTCAACCTTAAACATGGGGGTTTCTGTACTTGTAATTGTAGGGAAGGCAACCTACCGGAAAACATTAACGAAATGTTTTCAAGACAACACAAGCTGCTCTTTGTGAAGCCGAGGAACAACGTCCTCGTCAAAATTTATTTACACGTTTCACAAACACAATTTGCACTGTTGAGAATATATCTCTTCGACTTAGAAGGCACCTAGAAGCTGGTGACCGTTTTCACCAGAGATAGATGCTGTACAGACTCCCATTGGAAGTGGAAGGTTATTCACACTGAAAATGAGAAAAACGATAATTAGCACAACTGTGTTGCACCTGTAATCAAACGTCGGAATATATTTAAACACTAATTCCCATTGCTCAATTGTAGGAAATTCCACCAATAAATGTTTTTAGAGGACATGATTCATGAACTTACTATATTGTGGACGCCATGTGAAGTGGACGCTCATTTGTGGTGCTTGACGACGACAACCTTGCCTACGCTTCCACCAGTGCCACCGTAGCCACCGTAGCCTCCATAGCCTCCATAGCCTCCATAGCCTCCATAGCCTCCATAGCCTCCGTAACCACCATAGCTACCGTATCCACCATATCCGCCCCCGAGACCTCCGTATCCACCTCCAAATCCTCCGAGACCGCCGCCCAGACCGACTCCACCGACGCCTCCACTGACGCCTCTGCCGACGCCTCCGAGACCAGAGTGGGCTACGACGGCTCCGCCACCGTGAACTTGAGACACGTGATGCACTGTGCGAACCAAGAAGGCGGGGCCGGCCACCGACTTTGCAGCGCCTGCTCTGCCACCGTTCAGAAGGACTACGCTGCTTCCGACACCGACGTTGCCAGCACTTCCTCCGAGGCCTCCGACACCAAGGCCTCCGAAGCCTACGCCACCTCCTATACCACCGCCGTATCCACCACCGTAGCTTCCACCGTAGCCTCCGAGACTGCCTCCAGCAAGGTATCCACCACTAAGACCACCACTCAGGCCACCGCCCAGGCCACCGCTGCCACCACCGATGAATCCACCAAAAGCACCGGCGACCAAGGCACTCAGTAGGACGCTGCACGCCTGCACCGATACGATATTTGAGGACGTTGAGCGTGCTAATAGTGCGTTGAAGTCCTCCTGAACATCTGATGGGCGTATTGGCAAGTGTTTCATTAATGCTTGGTGTGCCGACAGGCCAATTGCTTTTCCACGCGTTAACGAGTACACTAATGAACTGAATATTTGAGTTGTACATTCGCTTGATATGCGTACTGTAACACTTAGCATAGTACCTTTTAGGACATAATATGACATAACTTCACACATCGCTTGGATAGCATAGATAAAAAAAACTTATAAGGCAGTCAGGTTAGCCAACCAATTCTGGTTGTTTAAGCTACGAATAAAAACTTGATAGAAAAATAGAAAGATGACAGAGGAAGAAAAGGCGAAAGTAATTGAGCGCAGAGTGAACTTAAGCGTAGTGGTTTGTATCAGTAGTACAAGGGGAAGGCGCTATCACAATTCACGTTCTTTCTGGTAGTTGTGTCCTTTCTGTCTACATTATGAAACGTTTGCTGCGCACTAAGAGCATATTTCTTTCAAAAAGCACACTTCAGATAAGCGCGAACGTCCCTACGGAAAAACAGCTGAAAAATGAGCTTTCCAGATGTCATCTGCGGAGTTTAAATGAAATAATGCTTCGAATAAGCATTTCCTTCATCTACTGCTTAGATTTACGGGGCACAATGAGGAGGTGGAGTTGTCCTTTTTGCCTGGAAGTTCTTTTTTCAGTTGGTGATGCCATTATACCACGAATGCTTGGACGCCTTCCGCAGGGTTGATCTTGCAAAGCTCAAACGAAACAAATTCTTGTGAAGATTCAAAAGGGAAAGATTTTTTTTTAAAGAACAAGGGCGCTGGTTGTAGCTCACATGGTCCTTAGAAGCGGTGCTACTGCACCATTGGGCAACAGTTTGGCCATGTCGTGCAAAGAAGTAATGTTAGGCTTATTGTTGAGTACATCGCAATCTGTCTAGCGCTTTTAACACAAATTAGCTCGGTCACTGGTGGCTACTAAGTTTAATTTGTCTATCGGCGGCAACAGTGATTAATGGAATAAGTTCCATTTGAAAGCGTATTGAGCACTGCGTAGCCGATCAGCACGACAGCGTTCTTCTACGACTAAATTGCTTGAAGAATACAATTCGGCAAAGGTGTGCCACAACTTTCAGAAGTGCATGCACTACATTCAGAAGTGCGTGAGGAATATATAAGCTTAAATAAAAGGTCAACGCTTTGCAGCCTCTGCAGTCGATGTGTCTGCATCGGTCAGTGTTTTCTCATATTCCTGACTGCTGTTAAGCTTTAACTTGCGGTGCAGTATTGCTGTTGGTGGGCACAAACTCGTACAATAACTGTATACTACCACCGGTGCTACATGAGGCTCTTGCGACATCAGCCTTAACTGGACCTAACTCAACTGAAGAAGCCGAAAAGCTCATGGAAAGAAATGGTCCGCTTGATCCTTCTGAGAGCACTGCATGGGTAGATATATCCTTACCAAGACGTTCATAGTGAAGACTGGGTGATTGCTCTGGGCACAAAAGGGCAACGAGCTATGGCAGACGTGTGTTCTACGTTGTGGCGGCACGGTCTTTTATACCCAACATACACGCGCAACCCCCCGCTGTGTTCTTGCTACGTCACAAGGGGAGGGCCTGTGAGGTGGGCCCCTATTCTGTACGAATACCCACTCTCACTGAAAACACGCAGGTTCCGACGTCCTGCTCCTTTCTTTCTTCTCGAATAAAGAAATAGGAGAGAGCAGCCCACGTTTTTGCAGCGACTGTCTCGCTCGAACTCTTCCTCGCGCAACTCGTGCGGAAGCATAAGCAAACCGATCGCGACGCGCTCACCGCGCCTCCCTCGCTTATCTCGGTCTACGATTTGAGTGAGACGAGGACAACGACGTGAGAAAAAAAAGTATAACGGTAACTCCGAAGTACACGAACAGCGGACGCCGCGGAACACTGTTCGACGATGGTGCCCGCTGCGTGTTCTGTCCTGAATCGGAAGAGTGGTCAGCGTCCTTTTTTTTTATTTCTTTAGCTTCCGGCTTCCACTGAGTTGCTGAGGAAGACACCACCTACCGCGCTTCTTGTTAGGCTCTTTAGTAATATCACCTCCACAATTTTATCTTGGCCCCAACGTTCCGCGTGCTATCCTTCCTCACAACACGCACTGCCCTCACATCACCCGCCAACCCGACCACACTCACACCAACGTCCCCGCAGAAAGCAGACGAAACCTTTACGATAAAAAGCGAGCCACCCAAACCCACTGATGGCGTTGGCTATACCAGCATATCTCCACATCGTCAATGGCATAAGGAATTTTCCCTCACAGTTTAGTCAAACAATATACAATTATAGAATCTCTGACGGGTGAATCATTCTTTGCCCCGGAAACTGAAAGCATGGTTCTTTTGGTTTCGATATGATGTAGTTGGTGGTATCAAAGGAGAGCTCTCTTTTTTTCGGCCACCGTATTTATTTGTTCAGAAGTCTTATACTTCCATTCTGTGTTGGGTTTGTCTGCGGGTTTCGAGGAATCACTTGGAAGATGGTGAGTTAACTGGAAGATTAAAATTAGTAAAGCCACTGTTATGCAATGATAAAAAAGACCGATGAATGACCAGGTTCTCTATAGCGCATTTCTTTGTTCGAAATAAATTAGGACACAGCGAGATCTGTTGTAAGAATATTTTAGTTCACTGAAGTGCTAGTAGGACAATTTCACGCTTGTGGGGCAAGTATCGTATATTCGTTGCTGATCAATTGATTAGTCTATAAAATTATTTTCACTCTAATTTTTGATAATCTTACAGCTTGAAGTACTCGGTTCTGCATAAGTGCAGAGACATAGCTCAGGGATTTTTTTATGAATCTTATTTCAGAAATACTCAGCTTCGGAATCAAAGTAAAAATTTCACGTTGACGGTCATTTGGTTTGGGAGTCATCATGCTGCAGATTTATTATGACATTTTGCTTGGCACCCCTGCTCAAATGGCGAACTGCTACAGCTGGATTTCGAAGAGTATGCCTCTAAAAAGCTTGATCCAATGTTCAGGATGCCAGGCAGCTATATTCATCATGTAGCAATGACCAGGCGGTACTTCTTACCAGCCCTGAATCTGCGTTGCTGGTCTGTTGTCACTTCTGAATGCGTCTAATTTCAGTCACAGATGCCAGGTAGGTTTCAAAGCGTTACAGTAAGTATCACAACTGCGCAACATCTGTACAAACTGTCTCGAAGTTTTGAAGTCCTTGGGCCAAATTTACAAAAAAAAAAACAACTTATTCTAAAACGTTTGTAAGAAAAAAAATTCTACCGAGCATTATGCGGTACCTATAAATTTATTATCAAGGTATTCAATAAGAAAAAAAAAAACTTATGTGAGAGAATATTTGTAAATTGAGCCCCAGATTTATCTTCATATGGGGCCTTTTATTTTATAAATGGCAACATACATTATTTATGTCATTATTAAATATTTTTCAATCGATCGATATGTGGGGTTAACGTCCCAAAACCACTATATGATTTAAAAATTTTTCATGACGCTAGGAGTCTTTTTCAAATTTTACAAGAATAAGGAATGGTAAAATACCATCTCCTGCCCGATTAATGGTGCGAACATAATTTTGCATCGATCATGGCATGTAATTCAATTATTTTCAAACAGTTCGCTCAGATAAATGCTTAATATTAGTGACGCATGTTTTCACACTTCGTAAAATTTCTTTCAGTAAAGATTGAGGAGCTTTAGGTCTTTACTCAATATATAGTAATTGGAAAATTACAATAGGAAACCATTCAGTAATTGAACAGCTTAATGTGTGTAGACTCGGCCCTCGTGATAAAAGACTCCCTGTCGGATCAAACTCATCGCTATGGTGTCACTTTCCCTGTTCACGTCTGCGCGGCACCTGAAACTGACATTTCTATCGTTTAGCGAGCCCCCTTAAATTTCTTTATCGGACCACATTTCTTCGGACCTGTCCTATCATTATTTGCTCTCAATTATAGGGGCAAGAGCCAATACTGGTGTTATGAGCTGCCATTCAATGGCGTATCTAGAGGGTTTCACACCCGACCGTGCCGCTCTCCCCAAATTTGTTTGTCATGACATACAGACTTTGCAGTGTAAAGATAGGCTAAACTTTGCATGTCATGCCATGTCTAAGAAAATTCTAGTGAGAGTGGTGGGGGGTGGCAGCATGGCTACGCCTAAACATACGGTATATGAGCACATAACTATGTATAACCATGCTAACCCCGACGCTACTTGGAAGAGATGGGATGCTGCCCTGCGCAGCTCCTGCGTAGCCGACCAGAAATGACTCTTGAAGCAAGTCCGTGATGTGGCTGTTTAGCTAGGCCTGTTATTTCCAAAATGGAAGACCTAAGAGTCCTCGTATGCTCCTCGCCTGCATGCATGTCCCCCATATTGAAAAAAAATATCACCCCCACCCACCCTGAAAAAACTTTACGCCAACGCCCCATCACAGGAACTGTTCACTGTTCGCCTTCACCCCCTAAAAATCAGTAATCAAGGACAGTAGGGCCAAAAAAGGCAGGTGATGTGGTTGAATCTCTCCAACCCTCTCAATCAAATCGAGGACCTTGCTAACGCTTTTATTATATTGCCTACCAAGGCTTGATGATGTCAAAGAGTTGAGATTACAACTGTTACTTTGTGCCAAGGAACCTCCATCCAACTTTCTCACGAATGTTACAACAGAAGCAGTGTACAAACTACGCAACATCTTACTCTACGCAGTAGGCGTCTAGAAAGTCTAATCAGAATTCGGAGAGGCTCACTGGCCCACAGAAATGGCGTGGCCTTTTGGAAGTGGTCATATCGATAACCCTTACTCAGCAATAACAAGGCCGCCTAATCAGAGGAACTAATAGAATATGCATGCAGTTCGGAGGTTTCAAATGATGCGTGTTAACGCGGTGCTGGTCTGAGACCGGCTGATTTGTATCACGGATTAGAGCCTGTCATTTTCCGTGTATGATTCTCTCACTTAAAATGCAGTGTTAAATGAAACAGCGAGTTTTACCGTCAACCGGCCGGTGGGTGCAGTCTCAACTCACGATTTTA